AAAATCGTGTCATCGAAGAGGACCTTACGACCGAAGGTGAGCCAAGTGATGGATATTGGAAGACATTAGCCGAGAAGCGTCGTGTTGCATTGGACATTTCGTTGAAAGAAAACGAAGAATTGCACGAAAAAGTGGCCAGTTTGGAAGAAGAGCTCGACATATCGCGCACAATGTTGGAGGAATCGAGAAATCTCGTCGAATTGCTAACAGAAATCATTCATGAACAAGAAGGTGAGGCCAATGACAGTGGATTACCGAGCAATATCAATGCCGATCTATCAATGATTGGCCGCACCGTGGTCGCCTCTGATTCCATGCTCACCAACGATTCCACAAGTGATGAAGCAGCCGACGACACATGCGACGAAGATGCCATTACTGATGACGATCCAAAGTCGGAATAATTGAATTTTGCGATTTTGTTCTCTTTTACACAGTGTTTATATGCATTAAGTCGTAGTTAAATTTTCATACCTACCATTTCGAGTCAAATTGAATTAGAGCTAAGCAGATTAGGATGAGTGAACTGAACTTACCATTTTTTTTTGATTGAACGAAGTTTTAAATTTTCAAGTCTTATCGCGTGAATAGAAGAGATTCTTTCTTTTTTTTGAACAATTAAACGTAGCGGGTTTCTTAGGATGTAAGCTTTGAAATGTGAGTTTCAAATAAATTCGGATATTTGTCACAAAGGACACTCCAATTCGATGTGTCAAGCAAAGTAGCTTGTGTGCGATTTCCAGATTGATTTTTTTTTTTGCATCGTTAAAGACTCTATCAAGCCGTTGAACTCTATCGATTTCAGAATTGTTTTTTTGTTCGGAACATTTTAAATAAAGTATTCATTATCACTTGACCTGCGATCACAAGCCGTTTCAGTTGAATTAGAAACTAAGAATTTTTTCCATGAATCTGTAATAAAATCGATTATTTATTAATAAAACAACGAAATGAAACAATAGTTGCGTGCGTGTGTTTTTTCTCTCTTAATAACTGAATTTTAATGTTACGATTTATCGATACACTTAATTGCAATACAAAATATTGTTGTTACTCAGTTTTAGAAAAAAAAGACATGAAATATTTCTGCCATAATTATTAGTCAAAATTAATACAATAAAAAACGAGAGGAGAAAAAAAATGTGTCCGAAATATAAAAAAATATAAACAGACGAGTCAATTTACATGGGCGATTGATTTCTTCAGTGATTTTTTTTATTGTGTCACAATTTGTGTGTCGTGTGTATGTGTACTTTACAGTGGAGCATTAGAATTATTTGTCTGTGTTGTTCGCACAATTAATGCGATTGTTAATACATAATAATAAACGCGTGAATTACTTTAAATAACATTACAAATTACGCTGGATTGGTTCTGTTTCCATTATATTTGTTTTTTGTTGTTTGTTTGTTTGTCAAAAATTAAAAGTCATTCCTTATGGGAACACCATTTATGGAGAGAGAATATTGAAGTAGTAGCAAGCGTATTAAAGTCTTTGTATAATTGTTGTGGCTATTTCATGCTTCTGTTTGTGCTTCTATTTAACATTCCGATAATCCTCTGCGGATGCTTTACCGATTGACTCATTTCCCTAAACAAAATATTTATATCCATTCGCAATCAAAATGTTGTCTCGCTACATGTAACACCAAAATAAGAACGAACAAGAAAAAAAAACCACCTTTACACGAAAATCGATGTATGTTCACTTCCGTTTTGTCCATTTGTGGGTTTTTGCGATTTGTTTTCATTTTTTGCTAATTAGACACATTTTTCCGTGGCGTGCCGCCGCCACCGCACATGCAACAAGATCAAACAAACAAAGAATTATGTTAAAATTAGTGTATGAAAATTCATTTAAAATTAAACGTACAAAAAAATAGAGACGAACACACAATTGAAACATTGTGTGGACGAAACAAGAAGAAGTTGATAAAGAAGAAGTAGGAAATGACTTTTGAACATTTATTTGGAATTGCACCAAATGAACTCAAAGCCGATTCCCGAAGTATTAGACGCGTGTGTTTGTATGTGTGAGGAATTTTGTAGTTTTTTGTCTTTTAAATTAAAGTTTTTATTAGAAAAACGAAATAAAATTGTTGTTTTTTTTTTTGTCACATGAATTTCATTCACTTTGTGTTCCAAATTGCATATTTTCAACGAAAAACGATTCTCTTTTTTTTTCATTGTCTGCGCTTTTTATTTTCTGCGCACTTCAATGACTACAGGACTACCCGAATTCTTTCGCATCTCACGATCGGGCACATACCGCAGATTATTTGAATATGCATCACCACCACCACCGCTGCCGTTTCGGTATCGACTAGTTGTTACGGATTTGCGTTCAGATGTTTCGACCGTTTCGGGGCCGCGTCCATTTTTTGCTGGATTTGTTTTTTTCGTGAAATTATGTACAGTGTTTGTAACGCTCGGACGATATGGATCTTCGGATCGAGTTGTGGTTTTGTATGTCTCCGAATAGTCTTCGGTGCTCGAGCTATTGCGACGTATTATGGCAGCTGTGTCTTTGTTGATCGTAAGCGGTGACCGGGAGCCCAACGAGGATTCGCGTTCACGTTGCAAATTCCGTTCTAAGCCGTATTTATAATGCCCGTTACGAAGTGGTGAGTCCATTTCGGTGCGATAATTATCGGATGTGGTGCGCAAAAGGGAATGTGCTCGTCGATCGACCGGAATATTCTTTGAGTAATGAACGGGCGAATGATGACGTTGATATCCATTGCGTCGTACATCATAAGTGCTGCCACTGATCGGATTGCTGCTACCGAAACCATTTTCATCGATTTTACTCAAATCACGTTGGCTACGGCTGATCAAATTCACGATGGACGGACTGCGCAATGCTGATTTTTCCTCATTCAAATGCGGATTCGATCGATAGTGATGGCTAACGTTGCGTTTCAATTTTTCCATGTAAATCGGACTAGGATTATTTGTGCCATTCAAACCGTGCACATTGAAACTCTTGCTTCGGTTGATCGATTTGTATGTGCGAGCCGGTTTTGCTGGTCCTTGTGACGATGACTGTGCCGTCGATGGTCGTACATTATTCACAATGGCAATGTTAATTGCCGACGAATGCATCGGCTTGTGTTCCAATTTACGTGGCAACGTCTGTGCACTGCGATAATCATAGTCCAAATGTGATGGAGATGTCTGCAATCGATTGGTGCTCTTACTGAGCCGACCCAACGTATTCGACGACTGGTGTCTATATTTAACGAAAAAAAAACAACCACACGAAATCAGTAAACAGACTAAACTATATACACGAAATAAAAATGCAGATTTTTTTTTGTTTCTTTTCACAAATTACAACAACATTAATGACAAAATGAATGAAATTGATGTAAAACAATTTCGTGTTGAAAATGTGTCTGCAGGGCAGAGACAGAATCGATAAGGATTAAATTGCAAACAAATTACATCAATTCGCGTTGCTCGAAAAACGATTTTAACCACATTGTGATTTGTTTTATTTGCTTTATGTATATATCTCTCGCTCACTGTCTCTAGCCCAAGCGCTCCTTTTGAATACTATCTGGAAAACGTTTCGCACAGTCCAAGCAATAAACATTCATCACTTGACGAACAACGACAACTGAATGACTGTTTAAATGCGGTAATTGGCAGAGAATAGGTCTCAGTCTCAGCCTCCTGTGTCTCAATCAGACGATCAAACGTAATTCTTCCATCCAATTCAAAACAATCAATACAACGATAAAATCTCAATTTGGTTAAGACTCGATGGGTTTTTTTTCTTCTTCTTTCTTCTGATGGTGCTGCTGCTCTGCTCTGTTCCATTTCATGTTTTCGCTTTCGTTCTGTGAAATAGGCGCGCGATGACAGTGCTGCTCTGTCTGTCGCTTTCAGAAGAGGTCGCGTTTTGTTCATCGCGAAGATAAAGTAGCAACCACAAATAACAAATCAATTAAGAATTCCATGGTAAAATTGGCATCTATGCGAGCGAGAGAATAGGAGAAAAAGACAGAGAAGCACGATACAACTTAAATACACATGGGACAAACGAGTGAACATCATGAATGAATGAAATAGATTAATCGACGAATAAAACACTACTTCTGATGGACCTTTACAATTTTATAAATAATTTCGGTCTTTTTTTTCTTTGATTCTCTTGTTATGGCCGTGCGGCTGCCAACTTATTTATTTACATGTGGTGTGTGCTGCTTTTTTTTCTTGTTGTTTCGTCTGTTTCGGCGTGTGTCGTGCAAGCACACAAATATCACAGGACCAGTGTATTTCTGGTTGAAATTTTTGCACACGACACACCAAATCGGGCAATATCAAGGTGAAGAGAGACAAAAAAAGCGGGACAATAACAAAAACAATAACAAAACGGAACAACAAATGAAACGAAATACACAGAATAAGGAGAAAAAAAATCGTTTCCACCGAACGGGTCGAAAAACAAGCGTGTAATTTCCGTAAAGGTAAGTAGGCGTTCATTGTATCTGTCTCTACTGTGATCCGAACCACAATCGACTTAAGATATGTCTAGTTTTAGCCCGTTTTGACATTACGAGAAATAAAAACAGAGAGAAAAAAAATGCAGAATGAAAAAAAAACGATCACCGATTTTTTCTCTCTTCATCCCATTGGCTTTATTGATTGTAAGTACATGACTTTGGCAACAGCAATCCAAGCAGAAAGAGAGACTTTTTTTGATTTAGTTTTATGTATATGCATCGATGCATTTTCTACTCTAGTTAAAAAGGTTGTGCCGCCAAAGGAAATGCACCTCGTGTATGTGCTGCTCTCTCTCTCTTCCTTGTACAAGCACACAAATTAAGTTATACTATTGACTATTCAACAGTTGTGCAACTATGCCAATGAAAATTTGCACGCATTTCGTGCAAATTGTAGTAAATATGTGTGCCGAAAGCAATTTTGGACGCTTAATTAAGTGATTTTGTTGTTTTTTTTCTGTTCGTCTTAGATTAAGAGTGCGAAACATCATTGATTCACCTGTATTCACTAGATCTTAAATGGTATTACACTTCATTCTGGACGGATTTGCAAAATTCCATTGCCATAAAAGAAAACATCTTCATAAGAATAACGATGTAGAGTTCAATTATCGCGTGATCGTTGCGGCACAACCACCACCACCAACCACAACGATTTAACGCGCGTGTTAGTACAGCCGCATAAATTAATGAATTATTATAGCCCCATTCAACGATGTCATTAAGGTATACATAGACACGAGGTCTTCCCACGCACGCGTCCAAATCCAAATCCAACCAACATTTTCAATTTATGAATTGGACTTTTTGTTGTTGTTGCTGTTGTTATTGTTCCACCATTTCTCACTATATGTTCATTTAATTTGTTTGATTGCAAAATATTGCAGAATCCAGCCGATCTTCGATCGTGTAGATTTTAAATAGCCTTTTTGCAATCCAATTATCGTTTTTGTTTTGTTCTTCGATATTGAAATCATTCGTTAAGCTATAATAAAAATTGCTTGGTCCAACTTTTGCTGATATAGTGAGAGACGATTTCTTTGGTGAATTCTTTCGAATTTGCATGCTAAACGACAGACTCAACTCAAAAATTGCTTAACATGAACATCGTATTCCATATTCATAATTTAAATCAATCATTTTTAATGACCAACCACTTTTTTGTTTTTGTTTAGAAGCTTAAAAGCTTTAAAATTTATTTTAAGCACGTCAACTTTTGCTGTTCTCGCAAAAAATCCACTTTTCTGTCATTTTACAAGCATAAATGAATTATATCCATGGTTGTTTCTTTCTAATTCTTCTGAGAACAAAAATTATAGCCACAGGTTTAAATGTCACACACATACATTCGAAACGTTGAGATATAATCTCTCCATGACATAATCTCGATATGACACATTTAGCTAGTTTCCCATGCATTCTCTCTCGCCTTCAAATGCACATGTCTGCCGATCTATTTGCAGCTAATAAAAATTATGTGAATAAACATAATAATAATTTTATTGTCACTTATATTGCCACTCCTTGGTTGTGTCATTCGTTCGTTGTTTCCCATAAAATTTCAACTAAACGGAATATCGTTGATGAGGGAATCTAAAATGCATGGAAGCATGAAAACCTGTTGCATGACTGTATCAACTAAAAGTGGTGAATACAATTTGTAATGAGCGAGTTGATAGTTTACGAGAAAAAAAACAACAAAATTGAAATGAAACGACGTGATCAAATGTAAAACTATCGTTTTAAATTGGGAGTTTTAGTTTTTGAATCGACAATCGAACAATTACACAAAAAAATGACACAATCGATGACACAAAAAAGGCTAGAGTGAAAAAGAAACAAAACTAATTTCAATGTTTCAGTCGCAAATCGTGCGCTACAATATTGTGAGATATTTTCGAACTCATTTTAATTGATTTCCAAACAATTTCATCTAATTTTTTTTCTGCTGCTGCTACTACTGTCGTCATTTGATGATGAGAATGGGAAAAAAATACGCAAACAAATATAATTAGCATATCGATGATACATTGTTAATGTGAAAATTGTATCGGAAACCGGAGTGTTTGAGAGCGCGATTGATTCGTACAATTTGTGCCAGTGCCAATGCATACGGCCTGAACTTCACAATCGAATCGAAAAGAAAACGAAATTGACGTAGAAATCTTTTGCAAATAAATGCGTTTTTATTGTTTCAATAGAACAGACACGTCGATGCTGTTTGTGCTGCTGCGACTGCTCTGTGAGCGGAAAATTACGGATCGTGTGTGAAGTCAAACAATTATTAGAGGTTTCAGTTTAACAGGAATTCAACCTTGGAATTTCACGTATTTATGGAAAGACAGCGAGGAGAGAACAAAAAATGACTCTATCTCGTGGACTGACACTTGGCTGAGAGTCGGCTGCGAATGGCCCCGGGACTGCCAATGCAGTTTTGGAAAGTGGGAATGACGGTCGATCAGTTGTCGATTTCGTGGAATTGAAAACCAGTTGACACGAATCGATTCGCCCGGTTTTCTTAGAAAATCTGTCGCTCGTTTGTAAGCTAACGAAACGTGCACGCTCTGCGCGGCACCACTCAATCGGGGACTGTGCGAATTTTCGTTTTGTGCGACTCAGTGAGTGTGCGCGCGCGGGAAACGTTTTTTTTATTGCATTGCGCGGCAAAGATCTTTCTTTGTTTCAAGTGTGTGTTTGTGCGCGTTGAATGCGCGAACGCGCACTCATCACAAAATTCTTTACTCCATATTTTCCATAATTGCCCAACGACTACGACGACGACAGAACACAAGTACAATGAACCATTCAATGGAAAATATATTGATCCGCAGGCGATTAGACAGAGAGCGATTTAGATTGGGCTGCGATACGGCCAAATAGAATCATAGACAAGCAGAGAATGGGTCTAGGTGCACCAAAACTATCAAAAGAGGCTCATCTCCACAGAGAGCCACACCGTATTAACAATGCACACCATTGCACTAGGCACTGTGTGAGCGCGCGCGCCACGTTGTTATTGTTACTCAATTTTATGCTTACGTATTTGATGTTATTTTCCCATTTTTATCAATGCCAATAAATCTTAGTAGACAAAACGATTGAGTTTATTTACGCCACGGCGCAAACGATATTGCCAACGTCTGTATCTTTTTGATAAATGGTATCGATACAATGTGAAGTGCTTGCAAATATATATCTTGCGCATTTATTCTCTATTGCAAACGATATACACTTTCGACACAGAAGAGACTCTCTCGCCAGCTATCCATCCAACCAACCAACCAACCAACCGACCAGCCATGGCATCTTCTCATTGTTGTGGCCAATTCTCGTGTTGGTTGGCACACATGCAAAACCAGTTCCCCATATTTTTTTTTTGCTTATTCCGAGGCATTTGCAACTCGTTTTATTTTCGCTTCATGTCAATATGATATGAACCAACGCTTTTGTTCAAATAACCAACAAACAGCCCAACTGAGAAAAATCAACAACCAACAAAAATAATCATTTGCATTTTATTTTTTCGACTACAATTTGTTTCTGTTCATTTCTATCACTTTTGCACGTACTCGTGGCACATTGTGTTTGTGAGTGTATGTACATGTACAACAATACCGTTCACAGCTATTGATTTCATTTTTTTACGATCTTTTTTTATTAATTTTAAAACTAAGCAATATTTTCGAATACATTTGAAAACTAGCAAAGTATTTGCTATTGTACATATGGCAAAACCTGGCAACGAATGTTTTTTTTTGTCGTAAAAACACATAGCTTTTGTTCGAATCGACCCGTTTTATCAGGTGTAAAGTAAAATTTATAGTAAAGCATTGCGTTGCGTTAGAATGACACGAATATTTTTATTGCAGTCAAAATAAACTTTTTGAAAATTTGCTTTTCTAACCACACAGAAGCTTGACAATTAGCTTGGATCTCGGTGTGGCTTAAACTGTGTTATAATATGCCAACGTTTTCATAATTTGTGCCCGTCTGTCAGAAATCTTTTGTTGAAAGTCCGATGGTTTATTGTTCAAAACCATGACTTTTCAAAGGTATTATTTCTGCATATTCGACTCAAAATCAAGTTATTCAATATTACTTTTGAGAGATTAAAGAATCAACGAACGATCAGGTTTATGGGATTTATGATTCCGTAAAATGTTACGGCTCAGCATGCAACAGCATCTGACAAGTGATTTGAGCGAGAGAGATTTTTTTGCTGCTGCCATTTTTTTTGGAAATCCCATTATCGAAAAATTGAATATTATTAAGTAGATTATGAAACAGGTTTCCCTTCTGTATGCGGATGCCAATTTTGAAGTGTTTTTTTTTTCATTGTGAATATGCTCTTATGCTCTGTGACAGAGCCTCTCTGTCATACGAAGTATAACACAATTTTAAATTAACTGGGTTGCTTCGTTCGATCGCCCCAAGTATGGAAAGCTACTTCGAGCAAGCGAAAAAGAAATTGCCACTCTTGTGTGCATTGTCAAAAAAAACGAAAATTGCAATATATGTAAAAGATGAAAATGAAATTGCAGTGTAGAAAAAAAAATGCGATGAAGAGCAAGAAAAAATGTTGCAATACATACCTGTTCGGACTGTAGACATCGACATCTTCTGAACGTTGGCGTCTTGATTGATATCGCTGTGCCCGTTGTGTGCCATCGTATTTGTTCTCTTTGCCGTAAATACTTAGATACGGATCTTCGCCCAAATAGTATTTGGGTTTGTCCACTGCTGCCGATGCCGTTGCCATTGTATTATTGTCCGATAAGTCTCTGCTACGATCGATTATGCGATGATGTTGATCACGTCTGCTGCTCACAATGCTCGATTCACGATTACTTGACGGTGGCGCTGTCGACAACGACGGTTGTTGCCCAATGTGATTGTCGATCACATTATACTGCTGATACGTTGAACCGCCGCCATTCACACGACCGAATGGTTGCTGTTGTTGGTGGTGCGTTGTCTGCTTTGTCGATTGTTTGCTATTTTGTGGTGACAATGAGCGTTTCGCTTTCGATTTCTGTTTTCGGTCCACACTGGCCGACCGTAGTTTACCGACTAATTTACGTATTGAATTGCTGATTGTGGCACCCACCGTATTCTTTTTGATTGGTGTTGTTTGCGTTTCGATTGTTTGCGTTGAAATGGGTCGCGAAAGTTCCGATGACGAAGCGAATCGCGTTTTTTGATACATTTTTTTCGGATTGCTGCGATAGCGTCCGGTTGTCGGCGATGGAACCGGTGAAATTGATCGGCTACGATTTGGTGGCGAGTAATCAGGTGCTGGTTCTCGATGGGTTGGCTCAAATTCTCGTGATGTTTCAATGATTCGCATTTTCTTTTCGCGCTTTCGCTGTGGCACTGTCGGTCGAACTAGGTCGGCATCATAGGTTTCCGGTGATGGCATTCGAATGCCACTGTCTGGTGTGCATAATGGCACCGTTTTTGGTGATCGAGGCTCCGTGAAGTAGGTCGATGATGATACGTACGCTGAATCATCACGTTGAATGGCCGATGTGTTGTATTTGTTCGGATCTTTGTAGAGTTTTTCCTCTTCACCACTGTCCCGACTGTCCCGGATGAACGAGTCCTCGCGCACCGGCGCATTTCGGATGTAACGCACGTCTTCGGTTGAACCTTTGACATAACCTAATTTAAAATCATTATCATGCAATGAATTTTATTACCTCAAACACTTTTTCAATTCGTAAAATGCAACTGCATGTCCAGTAGACTGTTCCGTTTCCGACAAAAATGAAATTTCTTTGTGTGCAACTAGCCTATTTGTTGCGAAATAGTCCAAAAAGAAAAACCAAGATGAAAACTGCACTAACTCATGGGATTGGGAGTGAGCTCAACGCGTGTGCAGCTCAAAACAAGGGAAAATTGCGATTTTTGACATTTTACTTACAATTTACTCGCTAAGACCAAACCTTTTATCATACTTTTTGGTTTGTGGCGGTGAGAATGAACAAACACAACACAAATAAATAATACCCAATCGATTTCATATTGAAATATCCTCAATTTTATTGTAAAAAGACAGTTTTTTAAAGAAAAATTATGAATGTTCAGCTTTTTTTTGCGTTTCTGATCAATTATTTTTTCTCAACAGGTATTTTTAATTAGTTTTTTTTATAAATACGTATGAAAACATGTTTTTCACCATTACCTAACCCAAATCAGCCTTGTTGATGGATGGATACATTGTGTTATACTCTTGAACAACATTTATTATGAACTGTTTATCATTGTCATCTTTGCTTAGAATCGAATTATAGTGACTGAACAATTTAACAGCCCTTTCAGCTAAATCGTTTACAACGTGAACGTGCTCGAATATTTCTTTTGCTTTTTTGTAGCTTGCATCGTCATTCCATTCCTCAGGATCAAGCGAAAGAAAGTCAGTTGGTGCGTCAAAACGTTTGAAAACCTCTCTTGTATTGAATGAAACGAAATCATTAATTTGCTTGCTGTTAAATGTTGATTTTATATCTGATTCTGTTGCTTTCAACAATTTTTCAGATTTCTGCTCCTTGCTCAATGCGTACAGCATTCGTCTCTTTTCATCTATTGGTATTTCTTCATCAAAGAACGCCATTCCAACTGTTTCGTTGGACAAGTAGCAAAGATGGCCGCTCATTTTGGACACAATTAAATCAGAAATTGTTTTGTCAATACTAGCATAGTCAATACCACCTTTGATGAATTCGAGGTCAATTCGAGGAGCCTTCGTTGCTGATGGAGCTTGAAACCAGGTTTTCACATATAAGCGTACTAAGAATATGCAAACGTCTCGAATGCCATTGTATTCATTTCCCTTGAATTCGAATTGGTCTCTTGATGTGACTTTCTATTGTTTTATCAAATGTACTGAATGAACCAATGCACTACTCAAGCGATCCAATTAGACTGAGATCAAACAGAATTTCGATTGCTACAGCTCTCATTTGCCCAAATGTCAAATTGACATAATCGAAAAGGGCCAATTTTGCAAACATCAGCAATTCGTCAATTCGCGCACACATAGTGCGAAGGCAAAGTATTTGTTTATACTTTATGAGCACAAACATCGCCAAGCAGCCGTCAGAATAACATTCCATTGGAATTTCAATACGGTCTCATGTAAACAATGCATCGACAATATTTCTTAGAAATGAGATTACCGAAACGAGTTGTGTATTCAACAAACTATATTCGAAATCGCATGAACTTTTTTAAATTTAGACAAATCTGATGTTATTCAACATTTCATGATTAATTCTATAAATTTTAAGTATCTTAAAACAAAATAATTGATCAGAAACGCAAAAAAAGCTGAACATTCATAATTTTTCTTTAAAAAACTGTCTTTTTACAATAAAATTGAGGATATTTCAATATGAAATCGATTGGGTATTATTTATTTGTGTTGTGTTTGTTCATTCTCACCGCCACAAACCAAAAAGTATGATAAAAGGTTTGGTCTTAGCGAGTAAATTGTAAGTAAAATGTCAAAAATCGCATGATTTTCCCTTGTTTTGAGCTGCACACCGTTGAGCTCACTCCCAATCCCATGAGTTAGTGCAGTTTTCATCTTGGTTTTTCTTTTTGGACTATTTCGCAACAAATAGGCTAGTTGCACACAAAGAAATTTCATTTTTGTCGGAAACGGAACAGTCTAATGTCCAGCTTCAATTTGTCGAAGCTTTCAACTTACCGGAATCTTCGCGATGCAAATAGCTGGTCTGTTGTTTCTTCGATTTGGCATAGAGATCTTCTTTCGAATCGTGCCGTGGTCGGATGTCAGTACGTGAGCCGCTCATGTAGCCCAAGTCTTCTTTTTGTGTCTTAAGATCGCCGCGAGAACCATATTGAATGTCCGTTTTGATATTCTTTTGGCGTGTATCATCGTCCGATTTCACAATTTCTTCTTTATACCGTGGTGAAACTGAATCTTCACGTGAGGATACATGACGTAAACGATTACGTTCGAGTGTGCCTTTCAGTTCATCTTGGAATGTTTTCGTGGAGAATTTGCGTGGTGTTGTTTCTTTGCGCTCCGACCACCCAGTTATGCCTTGAAAGTACTTTTGCGGTTTTGGTGCTTCTTTCGGCTTGATGTTTGAGTGATAGACACCATTGCTTAAAGTGGGCAGTGGCTCCTCGGCCGATACGGGTGATGGGTGATTCGATTTGATGGTGACATTGAAAAATGATTCCTTTTTCTCAGTTTCTTCTTCAGTTGAATCGGGCGATCGTCCTTCACTACCGAAATGACTCTCCAGCCACTTGATGGTCTCATCCTTGCGAGTCTCTTCTTCCTTCTCGAAATCAATTGCACGCTCCTTGCGCTCACGCTCCAAAAACGCTTCTGTAAAATTAGTTTGGAAAATTTAATATCAATTCAACAATTTCAAACGATCGAAGTACAAAATCACAGTCTTCTTTCGATAAAAAAAAAAGTTCAATCGAAATTCATATTTACCTCGATGTTGTTGCAACAATGTTTTCTGTTGTCGACGCGCTTTACGCACACGATCCGATAAGCTATCCCAATCGGATGCCGTCTCTTGTGGACCGTCTCGTTCGACATCTTCAGTTTCAGCTAGGTATCTCATTTCTTTTCCGATTGTTTTACCATCAGCCACATACTCTACTTCTTGTTCATCACGACGCTTTGAGAATCTTTGCGATGATTCCTGATGCAAATGAGGATGGAAGCGTTTAAAATCAATTGTGTGTTTTTTTTACTTTTTTTTCCAATTCTTGTTATTTAATTTCATTTCGTTTAAATTTTGTTCATTTTACCGTTTGTTCGATGCGCTCTCGATTGCCAACCGAATGATCGTCTTCGTCTTCAGGCAATTCGTTGTCGTGGAATTCTTCGTGTTCGGTTGTTTGTTTTTTCTCCGTTACGAGCGTACCATCCGGTTGTGCGGAATATTTTAAATCAGTGTCTTCGGTATCGATGGTTTTTCGTGCCTTGGTCGAATGATGAACGAGCCGGGGCCCCGTTGGGATTAGCTGTTTTTGTGCTTCCGGCGACAGTAAAGCTTCCTGAATGTTCTCAACGCCGCTGTTAATTGCGTAGACGTATGCCTGCAAGTCAATCGGAGGAGAAAAAAAACATATAATAACATTAGTTTAATTGCCAATCAATTTTTAATGGTTAATGAATAAATTGGCGAAGGAGAAGAAAGATGGCGAAACAAAAGAAGAAAAAAGTATCCATAAAACAGTAACCGCATTCAAATTCCGCAACAAGTTTGTATGCGCTATTGCGTGCGTGTTCGGTTGAAATTTTAAGCATAAAAAAACCATTCATACCGAGTGATTAGTGTGGAAATAAATGGATTTAAAAAGTGAATTCATCTTCAAGTTTCTTTCACTGAGTGGCAATCTTAAGCAATTTGCATAAAAACTAGGACCCAATGATTGAACGGGTCACTCACTTTGTTGCAGCATGAAAAGTAATCATCATGAAACGCACTTTCACCGATTTCAAACGCACAAAAACAAAACGAAATGGTTTCGTGTCATGTGTCACTGTTACGACGATTGAACCAATGCGACTGCAGAAAAAAACACACCAATAATTGGTAATTTGAATACGGATAAAGAAATTATCGTTTGAAATTCCAAATCAGTTAGTCGATGAGTGAATCGCATGCAAATCAATATATTCCATCCAGTCGCGTACTGCCGCACCACGACTTAATTCAATTCAATGTTTCATCGTAATTAGATGGGCAATTGAATTGTTTTGCCGCATTAACTTGAGCACCGGAATTTTCTTGTTTCTTTTTTCCAGTGTTTTGCCCAGACAGCAGCGAATGGTTGTGCGCACACGCTAAAACACACACAAAAAACTCGTTCCACGATAAACAACAAATTGCATTACTACAATTGATAAATTGCAAACGTACACGTATCGCACCTAGTGCGACCATTGTCAATTTCCGGCTTTCTTGGCTGCTTCGCTTTGGTGGAAACTAGTTTCTTTTTTTGCTCGTTTTTTTTGTACGTGGTAATAATTGGCTGAAAGGCCAGAGCATCAGAAGTGGAAGAATGATTATTATTGAATTTTATGAGAATGTGGCGGCCGATGCGCAAACATGATCTTCAACTGAAAGCGAACAACATGCAATTGCATTGTGCTCACGCCGTGCAAAAGAGCAGTAAAAATCTAAATTGCACAAAAAGAAACGCTCTGCCAACAGATGAAAGCTAACCAAACTGACCTGTTTTTTTTTCTTTTTTCACTCTCTAAGACAAATAGTTGTATATATATAGAGTTGAATGCAAGGCAAGCGCAAATCTGCGTTTGAAAAGCGAATAATTCGTAATAATTTTTAAATGTCAATGCAGTCGTTGCTATGGCTGCTGATGCTGATGTTGCTGCGCTTCAACACAAAATACCGTTTGCTCATTGACCGATACAAATTGACTACATAAAAAAAATGAAATTAGACATCAGAAACAAAATCGAAAGCTACACATGTACTATCTAGAAAAACTAATGCAAATATTTTCGTAAACAATTCGAAATCATCGGTCGAAAGCGGAGTGATCACGTGCGCGGCAACTCCTTCAAATCTTTGCCAATCTTCAATTCAATCGAATCCCAAGCGCTTAATCGCCGACCCAACCATGATCAAATCTAACCGTATAAAATTTGAATTAACTATGAGAACGATGAAACGCAAATGAAATAAAAAGAAACACATTCACTTTCTATGCACAGCAATCGCAAAGGGGAAATATGCGGTATTCGCGCGAGCGCGTGTAGTGTATTGGAAACAAAACAACGCGATGTAAAAGTCAAATGTCTCTTTGTTTATGGTTATGAATTTTGTATTCGATGTGGTGCGCAGTGTTGGAATGATTCTTTGGTTTAATTTAATTTTTCCCTTCATATTCAGCTCTTGGATTGCATTTGAAAAAAAAAGTGTTTGCGCGAGCAGGCGAATGCTCGATTGCTCGTTCTTTCTCGCGCGCGCGCCGCTAACTTGTGAAATGCATTCCATTTATGGATTATGGGATACACGATGCACACACACAATGCAAAAATTATGTCTGTTTTACCAGTAACTTGAACATGTTCACCTATTTGCTTCTTTAAATATTCCTTCTGTTATTATAAAACCGAAGAAAACACAGCGCTAACAAAAGCACCGAGGAAGAAAAAATGCAAACTTTTATACATTCATAATGCGAGTTTGTGCACCATTATGGAAGTTTTAGGCCAATGCTGCTTATGCTGTGTTGCGTCGAGAGTTTAATTTTTTTTTCTCCTTTTTTTCGTTTTTGATGTGATGCCGGTAATGTTTGCTTGTTGATTTGTTAGTGGCTGAATGTTTTATTTATTTAGTGTGTGAGCACAACAAAAGAAACAAGCTTCCAAATCGTCGATGGAATAATTTCGCATAAATAAATCGCATCTCAACTCGATTCGGCTCTGCTCTCTCTCTCTCTCTCCGTTGCATTGAGATTTTCAAAGAGCGCCTGATGCCATTGATTGCAAACCAAACCGACAGACGAACGGAGGGTGAGACAGAGAGTGAGAGAAATAAGCGAACGAAGCGCAAGTACGCATGAATTTTCTGGTCGAATGGGTTTAGTGGGAAATGTTTTCGCTTTTCAAATTGCATTTGTCCGACCTGGAATTATGTAATAGAAAAATATGTCGTGGCATCGATAAAATAAGTACGGAATCGCGGGGAATATATGCATGTCACTGTCGGGTGCAACTAACGTGGCCATCATTATAATAATGACATCAACGGCTCATTGGTATGCGATAGACAGCGCAGTGATTTGGCTGGAAAATCTGCGTTTTAGCCCAGCCGAAACAAAAAGAAGAGAAGAACAAGAAAGAAACAAGTAATGTGAATTGTCAACGTTCGAAAGATCAAGCGACGTCATTTCGAGCAAACAACCAGAGACATGCAAAAAGAGTAGACAAGAATAATTGGGCTATGGTGGATTCGATGCATATAATGTCATGCAGGGTAATACTTGTTGATAGCATTATCTCGCATATGGCACACACCGAATATGTGATGCTTCTACGTGAGCTAAATCGTCAATTATGTAAGCATTTATGTTTTATGCGATCAACAACAACAAATATTCGGTATGCAGCGTGTGTATGTGTGTGCCACAACACGTGTGAATTATGCACATTACTTTGCTTCCCCCCAAAAAAAACGGAATGTATCGTTCCCATGTTGTGTATGTGTGGCATATTCAGTTGCTGTTTTCTTCATTGCACTTTCGGTGTGATCTTTTCCCGTTCAAATATGATGTAATCCAATTTTGTATTTATTAATAATTTGCAAACATTTTTCATGCGCCCAATATAAATGGTATCGATCGTAACAGGCTGTAAGCGAGAAGCCGAACCAATAAAATAATCAACGAAATTCAGTAAGAGAAAGAGAGAAAAGGAAATGGCGAGCATTAGAAAGGTGTATGATTCGAAACAATCGATCCAGTTTTAACAAAATGTGCCCCGTTTTATGTTATGTAGCCCATTCGTGCACAAACCACGAAGCTGTGGTAGCATTGGATTTTGTGAATGTGAAATAAAACGCAAGCTTATAAAATTCATCAAGAACCACCTGAATGGCGTTCATTTCGTTGAACGACTGCCATCGTCATCGTCATCGTCGTCGTCGCTGTTGCCGTTCGATTCGATTCAATAAAATTGAAGCCTATAATCTGTAGGCCAGTTGCGTTATTTATATGCACGAAATTGAAACAGATTTATTCCAAAACAGACAAAAACATATTCCGTTTGTTGTACCTACATGATCGCTCCGCCAGCCACTCATTACATTCCATGGCCATCAACCATTCAAAAAGAATGCGTTCGACTATTTCATGCTGATCCAATCAACCAGACAAACACATCGTATACATGTCTACATCTCATCTTGGGTAGAAAAATCGAAACTCAAAATTAAAATATGCACGAAAAAACAACAAGTAAACAAAACGATTTTCCCTTTCGATCTCGTGCTCGCTCTGGTATATAATGCATTGTTGCTTTTCATTGAGGGCTGAACTGGCGCGTTTTGCTTTTATTTTTCATTGAAATCAAAAACAAGACAACGAAAACCAGAGGGAAATAAACTATGAAGCGCACAATAAGACATACAGACATCAAGTTTATATGCGCCTCTCTAGCTCTCTCACTATCTCTCTCACTGTCGCTCTCTCGCTCGCCCGCTCGCATTATTTCGTTTGTTGATTGAAAAAATAAATAATAATTTCATGAAGAAAAATGTATTCAAGCGTCGCAAGTCGTAACCTGGTCATTTTAAACGTGGTCGAGTGTATTAAAAACGAATGAAAACAAGAGCCGAACACGCAAATTGCCCATAGACGGATTGAAGAACTGGCTCTGGCATTTTATTAAAATGCACTGATTTTATTCATAGATTTGTGTGTAAACGCGCGGGTGCGCGGGCGCACGAATGCGCATTCACACGCATAATTATGGAAATATCGTGCATATTGCCCCGGTCCCGGATATGTGTGCCTGTTAAGCCGCATACCGCGCAGGAAAAACAAACAGCAAATCTACAATCAGTGCTGGAAAGCAGCAAAAACAAAAATTATGCCAAAGTGAATAAAGGCCGAATGCCTACCTAATAGCATAGGTACATATGAAAATTTACTGAAAAATTATAGTGGTTTATTTATGAAGTGAACCACTCTGTCAGTGCACAAAAGTGACCATAAAAAACAAACAATATACATCCAGTGGAATATTATCCATGAAGAAATCTCGCAGGAATGATCGGCGCGGGAGAAAAAAAAATTAATTGGCTATATTCTTTGTGCATTTATTTATAGATTTGCCATGTACGAAAAAAAAATGCGCGCGCACACACACAACGAGATTTGCTGTGCACTTTTCATCTTTTCCACAACAACTCGAGCTAGAGAAAAAAAATGGTTAGTAATTTTTTTCGGTCGGTTTTTCGATCGCCTATCGATTGGTTTGCCAATTTTCCCCAGCGAATATCCAATTGTGGAAATCATCGATGCCGTTGGTTGCTGCAAAAAAATCCAACGCACATTTTAACCAA